GCAGACACAGGCCAAGTGAACTTGGCTTGAGAAAGAGGGTTACCCTTGAAACATGTTGCTTGCTGCCCTGCCACCTAAATACTGTTTCCAGTTCCCCTGTCATCCCCGACTAGCCACACACAGTGTACCAGTGGACACAGGAATTGGAATAAGCATGTGGCAGCGGACGCAGGCATTGGAATCAGCGTGTGGCAGGAGATGCAGGCATTGGAATCAGCGTGTGGCAAGGGACGCAGGCATTGGAATCAGCGTGTGGCAGGGGACACGGGCATTGAAATCAGCGTGTGGCAGGGGACACTGGCATTGGAATCAGTGTGTGGCAGGGGACACGGGCATTGGAATCAGTGTGTGGCAGGGGACATGGGCGTTGGAGTCGGCGTGTGACAGCGGACGCGGGCATTAAAATCAGCGTGTGGCAGTGGACACGGGCCTTGGAGTCAGTGTGTGGCAGGGTAGAAAGTAGTAAGTCCCTCTGCACTCCTCACAGCGCTCCTGACCCAAGTACTTGTAGTGGTGCTCGCAGTGACAATCACGTGCAACACACGTGGCACCGTGCAACAGTGGAAAGCAGAAATCAACAGCACTCAATAAATATCTTTGATGTCCATTTAATCGGACCAATCGTGAATTGTCATGTACCAAATAGCAACGTTTTGGGACCGCACAGGATCCCTTCATCAGGGCGACAATGTAAGGAAGGTTACATACACAGTGTGTGGCAGGGGACACAGGCATTGGAATAAGCGTGTGGCAGCAGACGCGGGCATTGGAATCAGCGTGTGGCAGCGGACACGGGCAGTGGACACTCCCGGAGTATAGAATGTTGAAGAGTCTGGCAGAATTTGCCGCACTGGATTGGAGAAAAGGTAAGAGACACAAAGCTTTAATGGATATAGAGCTTTATTTTTAGCAATGTGACTATCAATTTTACATCTCATTGGCTTTAGCTGAAAATAACCATCAGTTTTTGTATATAAGTATCCTTATCCTGGTCTGTTAACTTTGTGAATTGAGCTTATAGACTGCTAGAAAGTGAGTATAAAAGCTATTTTATTGCAGAAAACTGCCATTTAGATTCATTTTTTTATTTGCTGTAATGCGCTGTTACAGGTAATAGATTTTATTATACCAATAAAAAAAATTTCAGAATAAATTATCCTAATATTTGAATTAATATCATACATAATAATTATTATTACTCATTCACTCACTTGTTATCTCTCGTCTTTTTTTAATATTCAGTTTTTATTAATTTTCTTCAATAAACAAATTTAAGACATACAAATAGTACAGCCACGCTATCGTCATTTCCATATCCCTTCCCTTCAACATTTCAAAATGTAGAGAGGAGGGTCAGCTATTCATGTACCTTATGTAGGCAGAAATGTCGCTAGCGGGTACCATGTAATACAGGTTAACCAAGACGTTACAAAAAAGAAAGAAAAAGAGAAAGAAAAAGAAAAGAGGGACAAGTGGGGGAGAGGAGGGGGAATTGGGAGTCCGGTACTCCTATCTTAAGTCCCTTGCAAGTGCCTTAACCTTCAATTTTAAATTTATTTTTTTCCTGACTCTGAGTACTCCTATTCTGTCCTGTCATGGCACACTATCCCTTCTGTTATTTGTTAGATGGCATTAACATGTAACAGTTCCGTCCTGTGTCCTATGGGTTCCAGATGTTCGTATGAAGTTATTCCACGGTTGCCATCTTGACTCAAATTTTTCAAAAGTGTCCCTCTGTAGAGACGTCAGTTCCTCCATTACTCTGTAGTAATCTACTCTTTTATACCAGTCTCTCATAGTTGGAATAGTATTTTTGTTCCAGTATTAAGGTCTTTGCCGCATTCAATAATATCGGTACCAGCGATCGTTTGTAGACCGCGGTCGGAATATCCATAAGATGTAGGAGACAATTCGACGGTTCCATTGGTACAACAATAGTGGTAATCCTTTCAATCTGTTCTACTATCTAAGCCCAATATGATTGAATTATAGGGCAGTTCCACCATATATGGATATAAGTACCGGTTTGGCCACAGTTTCTCCAGCAGAGCTCCGATTTAGTACATCTTATGTATTCGTTCCGGTGTATAATACCATCTTGCTACGAATTGGAACATTGTGTCTGTCACTAGGGTGCTGATCGATGTATTAAAGTTGAGGCTAATTATTTTTTGTTTCTGTACGTCCGTCCAGGTGGTCTCTAACTCCTGCTCCCATTGTTCCAGGTATGCTGGAAAATAGTTAGATTGGCATTCTAATAGAATCCTATAAAGTTGGGATATACCGTGGCATGGGGGGTCAAGTAAAGAAAATAGTTTTTCCAAAGGTGTAAGCTCCAAAATTGTACGTAGTGGTCTTGTGAGTGACGAAATAAAATGGGATAGTTGTCTATGTCTCCACGTGTCTATTGGATAAGTCCCCCATTGTCCTCTAAGAGACTCTAGTGAGCGTGACCTGTTTCCGTCACATACTTGAAAAAGTTTTAAAGTGGAGTGTGTCATCCATTTAAGATAACCTGTATTGTGTAGTCCCGGTGGGAAGAATAAGTGATCATTCACTGGCATTATAGGTGAATTATATTGGCCTATCAGCCGGGCATATAGTGAATTCCATATAAATAAAGTGTGACGAGTGAGAGGTGATATTAAAGGGTGTAATTTCCGATATTCCTGTGGTATCCAACAAATAGTTCATATAGTTTGAGCAGCAAGTGCGTTCTCTAGTTCAACCCATTTTTTTAGTTTTAGTGTGGTAATGTAGGTCCAGCATTCTATTAAGTGCAACAGCCTGGTAATAACATTTAAAATCTGGTAGTGCTAAACCTCCCTGGCCTCGGGTCCTCCTAAGGACTCCGTATGAGATCCTAGCGGAAGACCGTTTCCAGATATAGCGACCGACAACCGACTTGAAAGTATGTAAAAAATAACTGGGCAAAGTGATAGGTATCGTTTGGAGTATATATAGTATCCGTGGTAGTATAGTCATCTTAATAACATTTATCCGTCCCGTTAAAGAGATATATAATTTAGATCTTTTCTAACGTTATTTAATTAGGTCATATAGTTAGCTGTAAATAACTCTGCAGTTCTAGAAGTAAGGAAACTACCTAGATATTGCATTGTATGACTCCGCCAACCAAAAAGCAGTGTTTCTTTCAGGGCGGAAGCAATATGGACTGGTGTAGAGATATTTAGGATTTCAGATTTTGACAGGTTAATTTTAAAATTTGATATTTGACTAAAGGATTGAAATTCTTGTAGCAGTGATGGGAGCGAAATCTAAGGTTGTTGAATAAAAAAAAAGAATATAATCCGCGTAGGCGGCTAGTTTATGTTCTATAGTACCTACTGTAACTTTTTCTGCGCCCGTAGACAGAAACAAGGTATGGTTCGAAGAGGTGGAGGTATAATGAATTAGGCTAATTACTCATTCACTCACTTGTTATCTCTCGTCTTAACTATTGCAACTCCCTCCTCATTGGCCTACCTCTACACAGGCTATTCCCCCCTTCAGTATATCATGAATGCAGCTGCTGGACTCATCCACTTAACTAACCGCTCAGTGTCTGCAACCCCCCCTCTGCCAATCCCTGCACTGGCTTTCAATAGCCCTAATGATACAATAATAAATACCGTGTTTCCCCGAAAATAAGACCTACCCCGAAAATAAGACCTAGTACTATTTTTGGGAATTGCTAAAATATAAGACCTACCCCAAAAATAAGACCTAGTTGTGACCATTCCCAGGGTCGGCATAAGGGGGAACTTGAAGAGTCACAGGAGAGGCGGGAGAGAATCGGCGGTGCCAACGAAGCCAGCGCTAGAGGAAGCGAGGCGGCAGCGGAGGGAGCAGAGCTGCATAAGCCGATGCCTCCTCTATAGCGCCGGCTCCTGTCACAGGCGGAGTGATACCAATGCACTCCGCCTGTGAGGAATCGATAGTGAAAGTGCGCTTCGCTCATTCTGGCCAGCGATTGGTTAGCAAATTGCTCTTGGAAAGGTACGGCACCCCTGATTGCCCTGATCAACATATTTTTGTAGATGAATAAGTGTGGATTGTTGTACATTTAAAAAAAAAAAATAACAGTGTCTTATTTTTGGGGAAACACGGTATTAACGACTTACAAAGCCATCCACAACTCTGCCCACGGCTATACTTCAAAGTATCACCCTAACCGTCCCCTCCGCTCTTCCAAACACCTCCTGCTTTCCAGCTCCCTCGTCAACTCCTCCCATGCTCGCCTCCAGAACTTCTCTAGAGTCTCTTCCATCCTCTGCAACTCTTTATCCTAACCTGTCCATCTATCTCCCACTCTGGCTGCCTTTCGGCGATCCCTTAAGACTCACCTCTTCAGGGAAGCCTATCCCACCTCAAGCTAACCACTCAACCATCACATTCTCAAACAATTCATCCCCACACAGCTACCTCCTCAAGTATCACTTGTCCCTCCCTTTTAGATTGTAAGCCCTCATGGCCTGGGCCCTCCTTACCATCTTGTCTTGAATTGTGATTGTAATGTCTTCCTTATATTGTAAAGCGCTGCACAAACTGTTGGCGCTATCTATATCCTGTATAATAATAATAATGCCTAAACTGATGATTTTGAAAATATTTATTTTTGTGATTTAATGCTAATCTTCATAATCTGTGTATATATTTGTATACTACTTTCTACTCAAATAAAACACATGTGGAAAAAGTAATATTAGTAATCACATTGTGTTGTCAAAATATCTGCACTATTATAAAGCAACCTAAACGAAGAATATGTATTTGACTATTACAGTTCTGACGAATAAACACAATCCAGAACACCACCATACTGTATCAGCCCCCGCGCGTGCGCATTACATGTGTTCTCCGCGCGTGCCAACCAAACTTGCGCTACAAACCACAAAGTATGACGTTCTTGAGTTACAGCGCCAATGGCCAATAGTGATCGAGAACAAGAGTTCGCAGGGTCACGATGACAAATGCCAGCAGCCCAAAGCGGCGGCTGGGCGGCTCCCTCGGAAGCTGAGCGGTAGTAGGTGGTGTCGGCCTGCTAGCAAGTTTCGCCGAGCTAGCAATTAGCGTCAGGGCAGTGGCGTCAGAGATGCAGTTTGTTTAGAAGCAGAATGGAGGAACCATGGGGGTGAAGTAGTTGACCGGATTGGACCGGAGCAACTGTCTTTCGGACGTGATACAGGCTGGCTTTTTGTGGGGCCTCCATAGGAGCATTGATACGCATAGCGCAAGTACGGAACTAGGATTTAATCAGGGAGGAGGGGAGGCCTCCAAGTGGACAAGCGGAGGGAGGAAAGAACCCGACTGGAGAAGAATGGAGGACAAAAAAGAAGAGGGTGAGGCAGAGATTCAGGAACACGGACCGGAACATTGGTTTTCTAAATGGGAGCGGCAGTGTCTGGCTGAGGCCGAACAAGAGGAGCCCCTAGAGGAAGAGGCCGAGCAGAGTCAGCAGAAGCTGTGGCATCTCTTCCAGAACTCAGCCACGGCCGTGGCTCAGCTTTACAAAGGTCAGAATCGTTTGGGGGTGTGGGAATGAGGGTGGAGGGGATGGGTGCCCGCTTCCCCTCAGACAACGACCGAACCGGAAAAAAAACAAAATGGCGGAAGGACCGTACCGAAGTAGCTGCACTTAGCCCCGCCCTCTGACCCTCGATTTATGAAAGCCAGCGATGTCTCCCGTAGCAACTACTAAGGAGCGTCGTTGCCATTGGGAACAGCCTTCGTTTGTTACTGCGCTTCATATGTGTGTGTTCCGAGGCGGACAAAGTGCGAATCTACAAAGCCAGGCGTATACAGCCGGCTGTGGGACATGTTTGTTATTGGGGGACACGCCTGCGGGTGCCATTTACTGCCCGCATTTCCTTTTAGCGTGCTGTGTGCCCCGATCACCCACCAGGGACACCCATCGAACATGACAGCTGTGTTTACTCTCGTCCTTAACGGCCGGAAGGAGCCCGTAACAATCTGCTCCGCGGCGGAAGGAAGGGGGATTAGGGGGTGTTCAGCTGAAAACAAAATGGCGCTCCAGCTTTTTTATTGTGACTAATCGGCAGCCGTTTATTTACGGGATCGGAACGCAGGGTCTGATCAAAATGGCGAAGCCAAGCAAATATGGCCGATTGAGCCGGCGGAGAGGTCTGTGTGCTTCTGTTTGTATTTACATCCAGTTCCTTGTTTCTCCTTTGCAGATCGCGTTTGCCAGCAACAAGGAATGTCACTGTGGGCCCCTTTCCAGAACGCTGCTACAGCTGTCACCAATCTGTACAAAGGTAGGGAGAGGGCTGAATTGTCATGCAAGTGTCTTGTCAGCTCCTAGTCTGTAGGCTGTGTGGCAAAGAAATCGTTCTGCAGTTGCTGAAATGATGGAGGAGAAAACAAAGCTGGGCTTCTGCACATTTCTTTACCAGTTAATTGTGATGAGTTTTTGTTTGATGGAATGTGTGTTTTCCTGATATCTAGGTGAGTCCATGGGGCTCATTTATAGAATACTAAAGCCATAACTTTTTTTTTATTACCTCTTTTAAGTTTACTTTTGCCATCTGTGTCTTTATTAAGGAGTTTTCCCTTTATTTCCTGTTCTGTAGACTTTTAAGAGGAAATAAGAGGATATTTTCCCAAAGTGAGAAACATCTCCTCTAAGGCAGTTGTCATGGGAACAGGTGTTCCAATTGGATGATTTCTTTCGTTTCCTGTTCTGGTGGCAAGTCAGAATTTTGGATTTACTCCCCCTTTTATTACCAGGGACATTGGTGATCCGGACAGACAATGTGAATCTCCCTAATGTCGACACAGGCAGCAATAAAAATCTGACTGTGGTTCTAACCCTTCACCACTCTATCTAAATCTTAAAAAAACAAAAAACCCCTTTTAGTTTGGAAATTTAAATGCATATGTGTCACATTTAATGTTGAGAACAAGCGTGAGATAATTAAAAGGCTTTGTTTTTATGCACCCAAATATTTTCTTTTAAAACCACTGCATATCCCTCCCTCTTCTGAGTAGCAGCTTCTGATTTGTCTTTTGGGTCATCTCAGTGTCGGTCATCTCCCACAATGCCTTGCACCACATGCAGCTGGGCTTGCAATGTAGAGATATTGGCAGGACATTAGGGAGGAGGTGTGGAGCTGTGAGGAAGTAGTGAAAAAAACAATGTATTAGTTTCTGAGCACAGTGCTTCTGCATGTGTGACTATAGTGAAAGAGATTAGGATGGTAGAATGAAATGTGGACACAGGCATAGAGGAAATGTAGGTGAATGTGGTTCTCTGCATCTATACAAAGGTATTTGTAAAGGCTTAGTAAATTGAAAAAAAATATTTGTAGTGTGATTGAACTGTCTTGCATGTCTTTACATCCCTTTGTTTCATGTCAGCCCTTTTGATCTCCCGCAAGCTCTTTACAGCCTCTTCCGGTCTACATGCATGCACTCCAGTTATGTGTGTAGGCATGGTCACTTGTAGCCTCCTGGCAGGATCACCAGGCATTATGTTAAGGAAAACTGCAGATTTAAAAATCTTAAACTACTTTTGACATTAAAGCAAATCTGTTAGGTGAAAAAATGAAGATGAAAGGCTCTGCAATAGAATAATTTTTATAGTGGCCCACTGGTTGTCAGTGTCTGATATTCCCTTTATTCCAACTGCAGCCTCCTAATGACGGAAGTGTCAGATGCCTTTGTTTCCTACTGCATGCTGTGGTTTTATCCTCTGACCTTGTGCCCTTTTGTGACTTGGGGGTCTGAGGATGGAACCACAGAGTTAGGTGGGGGACACTAGCATTTCTCTGTTCCGGGGGGGGTCTGCGTATGCAAGAACAGAATGCAGTGTGGGACACTAGCATTCCTCCATTCCAGGGGGGTCTAAGGATGGAACCACAGAATGCAATGGGGGACACTAGCATTCCTCCATTCCAGGGGGGTCTAAGGATGGAACCACAGAATGCAATGGGGACACTATCATTCCTCCGTTTCAGGGGGGGGTCTGAGGACGAATCCATAGAGTTAGGTGGGGGACACTAGCATTCCTCCGTTTCTGGAGGGGGTCTGAGGATGGAACCACAGAATGCAATGGGGACACTAGCATTCCTTCGTTTCAGGGGGGGGTCTGAGGACGGAACCATAGAGTTAGGTGGGGGACGCTAGCATTCATCCGTGATAAATCGCTCAGTGTGAACGGGGCCTAAGTGTCTTACAAAGGCGGTGGAAGGCACAGACTACCAGAGAGGTGATTCTAAAAGCTCTTCTACTACAGTGATTTTTCTGAATAATTATTTTTTTATTTTTAAATCTGACAGTCACTTTGAATTGGTAGTAAATTCCTGCGTAAAAAAAATTGCTAGTTTTTTTTTCAGCAGAAGAAACATTCAAAGTCTCTTTCCAATGCCACACATGTTCTTAGCAGTTTTTGATTGTTTATCGCATGCATTGTGCCTTGTACATCCTGGCTCATTGTTGGCAAGTCAAGAATGGAGTTGGGTGCCAGAGCGATGCAATGTCTGCACATAGGAGTTACATCATCACTGCCTGCCCGATGATCTAAGAGAAGTGGTGAGGAAGATCATGGCAGTCAAGCAGCTGGACGGACCTACCATCGATGGAGGAGACCCCTGACCATTCCAAGCCCCCCACCCCACTGGCAGCAAGAATTTAGTTCAGCTATGGCTCCGTTCACACAGCTGTTTTCTGCGCGAAACGCACTAACGTTAAAACTAATACCTTGTAATGTATCTTGTTTACAGCTGCGTGACGTCTGTGCAGTATGAAAACATGCGTCGCGCAAAAAGTCCAAGTGCTATATGCTGGGCGGATTCTGCGTGTTTCGGCTATAATAGTAGCTGCAAATCTGCAGAATCTGCGTATGTTAAAATTTGCACATTTTCGTGCTGTGTGGAAACCACAAACGTCATGTGTGAATGGAACCTTAAAGTCCAACTCCAGACAATGGAACCTTAAAGTCCAAGTCCAACTAAAGTCCAAGTACAGCTGCGCTGTACTTTACAAATGACTACTTTCATTATGCTGGATAGCACAGCTCCCGCTATACTTTTGGCCTGCTCAGGATATGAGGATGGCAGGCCTACTGTCATTTTCCAACCCCCTATACCCTTGTTCTTTAACAAAAATCGTGGTGTTTTGTGAATGGCCAATGGGAGTGGGGGTGGGAAACAGCATTAGCGCTGCAGTCTGAGACCTACAGCTGTCATATCTAGAGCATGATGGAAGTATAGCGAGAGCTGTGTCTACAGTTCTACTTTAACATCTTGAAGATTATGAGATTCTATATATTATGTAAATCAGTGGGACTTTAATTTTGAACATTAAAAAAACGGTACAAATCATTTTCAGAGGAAACAAATATTTATTGATGGCAATATTTGTTAAACATTCTGACAGCCGTCCATATTCAGTTCACAATTCCAGTACATGTGGTCAGAGATTGAATATTGCAATTTGGGATTCATTGCATATAATGCTAGTATTTGCCCAAGATCTGAGAGACGCATTTTGCGTACAGTGGCTGCAGTGCACAAGTAGGTATCCAAATATATTGTGCCTCAAATGCCCGTGAAATGCTTACAAAGTGTAAAATGAATAATCTGTCTCCCAAAAGTAGGAAAGGCGCCTTCCCCTTTTCTTTTTATAATCTTTCTTACTTTTGGGGGACAGTTTATTTTTACAGAATATTGCACTTTGTTTAAAGTACAGCACAGAATATTTGAGGCAGGATGTATTTGTATAGCTACTTTACGTACGCATTTATGCCAGATTTCATTTGACATCTTATCATGCAGTATGTTCTTTGTCTCAGACATGTGCAAAGATATCTGACCACAACAATCTGAGAATTGCTGACTATTAAGGTCTTCAACAGACGGATGCTTTCCGTGAAATGCGTTAACATGATCTTGGGCAAATTCTAGAATTCTGTTTAATGAAATACAGTGTGATCGTATATTGCCTACCGTGTGTCCTGGAATTTTTTTTATTGAATATGGACAGCTGTCCAGGTGCTTTTTAAATAAATGAATGCTCTCAAATTTAAATGGTTTTTATAGAAAGATGTGTAGCTACTGGTGCTGAAAATTAATGTCCCTCTGGTTTACAAAATATAGAGAATTTATAAAAGGGTTGACAGCACTTCACTAGAACTAATGGTGTTGGTATTCATAGTATCCACTCTATATCGACTTTAGATTGCAGATGAGATTTTAGTGATTACTTACATTGAAGTAGATGTAAACCAATGTTGTTGATGTGACAAACCTTGATTTTGTGTATAGTCTGACAGCTTTGAACTAGACTGCTCATTATTTGACCAGTGATCTCTTGCAAGTCTCCTCCATTCTAATTATGATATACTATCTCTTTTGCAATAAAAGCTTGTTACCTTCCTGCACGTAAACATCTTTAAAACGGTGAGAGATTATCCTGGGCCAGACAATAAGATGGCCGAAGATGCAGAACCCGGAAGAAGACCGGGTGAACATACTAGTGTTGCATCTCTCTTCACTGGAGAGAAGGTGATTATAGCAGACTTTAGTTCTGCTTAAAGCGGACCTTTACCCATATCATTAAAATAACAACAAACACACCTATAGAAATGTTTAGTAATGACAATCTACAAACACATACTTCTAGATAATTGCCGGCTTTGTATCCTTTGCATACCTTATTTCTCTTTTATTTCCCAGTCTTCTGACAGTGGCCATGTTAACTAAGGGCAGGTTATTAGATCTCCCTTTACTTCCTGGAACTCTGGCACATGTGACTAGGACATGTCACCATGCACATCATCTTAGGAGAGGAAAATGTCTTTGCCTGACATCTCATGATATTACAGATGACATTTCCCAGCAATGCTCTGCTGATGTAACCTTCCGAGTAGGGATGCACCGATACCGTTTTTTTTCTATATCGAGTACCGATATTTTGTTTTCGGTACTTGCCGATACAGGGTACCGATACTGGTGCTTCCTCCGGCATGGAGCCGGCTTCCCGGGCAATCGGAAAGCCGGGCGGCATGTAATGACATGCTTCCTGCTTTCCTGGAAAGTTGGCTCCTTGTTTGGCCAGCTCGATTGTGATTGGCCCGGGAAACCAGCAGGGTAAAGATCCACTTTAAGAAATCTGACATCCTCGGCACTCCAGTAGCCGAAAGGTAACCCGGTAGAGAGTTGAAAGGATATAGAGGATTGATGCTTGATAGCGGAAACCTTCTACTGGTAGAGGGTGGGATTTATTTTTGGGTGTAAAAAAAAAAAAAAAAGCTTTG